ACTGTTTGTCCAACGAAATAAATGAACCAATGACCATCTATTTTGGCATGGAATGACCAACCTATTAAATAAGTAAGAATCAAGAGGGGATGCCAAGTCTAAATTGTGCATAAATAGGTGATACAAAACCATTTCCAGTCACACTCCCTAAATTTTTCTAGTTCCTTATAACATATAATAGTTTTCAAACTTTTAATAGTTAAAATTTCTTTCAATCCATAGCTGTAGATGAAGCTCCATAACAAAATTGTTAGGAGGACCCAGTTACCTCAGTCTCATTCTCCCTTTTATTCCTTAACCATCCAAACAGGGAAGAAGGGACCCCCACAATGAAAATGAGAATAATGATTAAATGAAGATAGGGACTGGGAATTGTCAGACTAATTAATCACTTCACCTGAAACCTGCACATGTAGAAATCATTGCCAAACACTGCCCTGTATCCGTCGATGGGCTTCACCTTGGGGTTCCTGCGGGTGAAGGGCACGCTCAAGTTCACCAAAGCCTTGACTCTATCAGGCCTAAACAAGCAAAAATGCCAAGCAATAATCGCGCCCCAATCGTGACCGACCAAAAACACCTTCTCCACACCAAGCGCGTCAAGCAGGCCGACCAGGTCCCCGACAACGTGGAACGAGGTGTAAGAAGTGGCCGATGGGGGCGCATCGGTGTCGCCGTAGCCGCGAAGATCGGGGGCGATGGCACGGTAGCCGAGAGAGGAGAAAGCGAGGAGCTGGTTGCGCCAGGAGTACCAGAGTTGGGGAAAGCCGTGGAGGAAGAGGATGACGGGACCAGTGCCTATGGAGGCGACATGCATGTTAATGCCATTAGTAGAGACCGTCGTGTGCTCTATCTTCTCCATTTGTGGACTGAGAAAGCCTAAGGCGTAAGGCCTTTCCCTTTAAGGTTGACTTGACGACCAACGCAGCCGCTCGTGAGTGGTATTTATAGTCAGAATTTTACAATTAAAATAAGGTGATGTGACAGATATAACCTTTTTATTTTATTTTTTTATATAATTTTTATGTAATATTAAATAAATAAATACATTTAATATTATATATTTCATATAAATTAAAAGAATTAATTATTTTAATAACATAATTATATTGAGATCGTACAAAAATGATCATTTCCAATTAAAATAAGAGGAAACTAACGGTATTTTATAATTTAAATTTTATAAAACAAAAGTTATAGAGTGAATACTCAATTTCCATCTAAAACTTAATTTAATATAATTTATATTATATAATTTCTTATAAAAAGAATACATGATGAAAAAGAGCCTTTTATTTTAATTTAATATCAACAAGTTATTTTATAAAGTAGATTATATGCAGTTTGCTTTATAAAATTATTTAAATATTTTTAATAAAATAATATAAGATTAAAATTAAAAATATTTAAATAATTTTACATAATAAATTATATATAATTTACACCATAAAACAATTTTTTGATTTAGTATATTTTAAAGTGTTAAATGCTAATATATTTATAATTAACAACGTAAATAATTTAATAATAATATATTTTTATTAAAAATAAAAAATTTTAAATTTAAATTATATAATATACAAGTGAGGTAGAGTGAAATGAGAAATGATTATTTTTTGTTATGCAATTAAAATTAAAAAAATATCTATTAAATTTATTTCTATTTAACAATTTAATACAATATATCATAAAATAGAGAGAGAGAGAGAGCATCCACACATGCATTGTGTATCGCATGATTCGCAATTTCGCATATCCATAAAATAAGTACTTTAGTTTTAGGAACATGGTATAATAAAGGTGAAAATAGGATATTTTAGGTTTTAAAATATTAAGATTATTAGTAAAATTATTTAAATATTTTAAATATTTTTTTGTATGTTAATTTATCGAAAGTATTTAAGTTTTTTATTATAATTTTTGATATTATAATTATTAAGATATTTTAATTTTTTTATAATTTTATACACTCATTTTATTTAATTTTAATAGATTCAATTTTTAATTTAAAACATTTAGATTTAATTATTTATTTTTATTTTTAAAATAATATTTAATATGTTTATTTTATAATTACATCAATATTTACCATAAACACATATATTGTTTAATCTTTACCAAAAATAATCCACAACCTTCTAAATATTAAGTCCCTATACTTAGCTCCTCCTATTAAGTCACTAACAAAAATCTTTATTGCAGTTTCATGGGATCCACGAAGACCCTTGAGAGAGAGAGAGAGAGAGAGAGAGAAAAAAAAATTATAAACCACAATCACCAAGTCCTTTTTTTTTTATGATGGTAATGCAATCATGCCATTATTCAAATGAGTTATGCAGCTTTACCATTCAAACTTGACTTTGTAGGCTCCACCTTGAAACCAATTTATATTTACCTACCAACTCAAATTTACCCCAACCACGATCGTGAGTTGGTGATAAGGGCTTACTGATGTAACACTTTGGTCCTGACTTTCAGCCCCACCTTAGCCTTAATTATCCGTCCCCTTAAATGTGGTTGTACTTTAATTGCTTTATTCAAACAAAAAAAAAGGAAAAAAAAAAAAAAACTCAAATTTACTTGCGACTTCATCATAAAACACCTTGACTATAAATTAGACAAATAAAAAAAAATCTTGGAAACTCAAACTTTGAATATAAAGTTTCAGATTTGACTGAAGCTAAGTTCAAATATAAAGTTTCCAGTTCCACACTCTGTACTGTAGACTAAATTATAGCCCCAACCCAATCCTCTTTACAATTTATTGTCCTCAGACAATTCCCACCGAAATAAATGCACAAACATAAATGCACAAGGAATTGTACCTGTGCATTGGAAAGTTAAATTTCTCCACTCACAATTGTTGAACAAACTAATGAAAAGGTATAAATTGCAGAAAGCACCAAATTAGCGCTACTAGAGATGGTGCCCCACAATGCCTTACATTGGACACATCACCGATCAAAGAGGCAAATGAAGATTAGAATTTCTTGATGAAATCATAAATATGAGCACTGATTTCCTCTGGCTTTTCTTCGTTGATAAAGTGGGCTGCTCCTTCCATTATAACAACTTCCTGCAAGAAGGGCACATCTTCCTTGAACTTACCTCCATGAATGTATTCTTTGACTCCACGGAAGTGATAGACAAGGTCCAGCTCGCCAACAATGAACTTAACTGGTACCTTGATTTGAACGCCAGTCCATGGCACCAGTAGTTCCCAGGTTCTGCAACAAGAAGATTGAATTAACTAGGATAACACTAAAGACTAGGAAGTCATAACCGCCTCAGATAATTACAATATCGTTTTTGGGTTTAAATCTTAACTATAAAACCGTACATTGCCTGAGGAGATAAATATTCGTGAAGGGTCAAGTTCACTACTCAAATAAATAACCCATGTGATGCCAAGATAATAATACAAGCAAATCAAACAATGTGCAGTGTCAACCAAATGTTCCACCATTTATTAACAGCTAGGATCCAAATATATTTCTCTCAGCCATATCATTACAAATTTCTAAAAAATAATAAGACCTTAAATGTTAGTAAAAGCAGGAATATGGAATAGATATTATCAAAGTACCCCTTTGTTACCAAAATGATGAAATTTGAAACCACACCCCCCCCTCCCCCACGCCCAAACCCCAAAAAAAAAAAGTTCAACAGTGGTAGTATAGAACATACATATTCATTGCTCGATAATAGTTCAACCCTCCAGTGAAACCTTTCTGGTTAAATTTGCTGGCATAATAATTGACATCTTCTTCTGAAAGCCAAGATGGCAATGTTGGAGGGTCTCGTAATCCTTTGTATCCCGTTTTAGGTATACAAGGTGGATCAGGATTGCGAGATGTGAGAAATTTCTTCAACAATTTTGCAGTATCAACTTGAGCAAAATCTTCTTCAATTTCTCCAGGTTTCTGTAGCATAATAAGGAATTAAATTCATATCTACGCATTCATTTCGGCAGAATACAATCTTCATCAGCCACACTTCCCAGGTACTGTTTATTTAATTTGAGGAACTGATCTACCGTGTCTATGTATTCAGAAGAACACTTTTCTTCATTAGCCACACTCCCCAGTCCCCAGTTACCCTTTATGTGATTCAAGGAACTATGTATCATAAAAATGCAAGACTAAAATAGGGTCTACTAAGTGGGTAAAAAGTCCACATTTCCATTAATAAGCTAAGTTTTACAAATTGCGAACTACATTCTTGCTGTATCAGCTGCAACAAAGGAGAATGAAACGAAAAGAAAGAATTGAAAAGGAAAGCTAAGGGACCACAAAAGAAGTAAAGAACAAAATCAAATAAAGTCAGTCTGCTCTGTTCATGATTTGATGCGGTTAACAATAGGAATTTTGACAGAGAATGTTATCATCAGAGAAGAACTGAGTGACAAAATTTTAGCAAAACTATTCCTACAAATCTCAACTTTGACCAAATCCAACCATTTGTCCAATTTTACCAAACCCCCATTGCCAGAACGAACCATTTCAATAATCTAGTTGCTCCAAATCAAAGAGGGTTCCACAAGTCTAAGTTGTGCATATATAAGTAGGTGATACAATTCACTATATAGGCATAATAAATGAAACCCACGAAAAAGCGGCTAGGAGGTGGAAACATTAGTTTGAACAATTCACCAAGAAATATGCACAGAAGAATGAAATTAACCAGATTTAAGCTAAGAAAAATGACTAAATAAAGATGGGAACTGGGAATTATAAGACTTAATCAATCACCTGAAACCTGCAAATGTAGAAATCATCGCCATACAAAGCTCTGTATCCGTCAATGGGCTTCTCCTTGGGGTTCCTGCGGATGAAGGGCACGCTCAAGTTCACCAAAGCCTTGACTCGATCAGGCCTAAACAAGCAAAAATGCCACGCAATAATCGCGCCCCAATCGTGACCGACCAAAAACACCTTCTCCACACCAAGAGCGTCAAGCAGGCCCACCAGGTCCCCGACAACGTGGAAAGAGGTGTAAGAAGTGGCCGATGGGGGCGCATCGGTGTCGCCGTAGCCGCGGAGATCGGGGGCGATGGCGCGGTAGCCAAGAGCGGAGAGAGCGCGGAGCTGGTGGCGCCAGGAGTACCAGAGCTGGGGAAAGCCGTGGAGGAAGAGGATGACGGGGCCAGCGCCGATTGAGGCAACGTGCATGTTGATGCTGTTTGTTGACACCGTGGTGTGCTCTATCTTCTCCATCTCTGAGAAGAGACCAGAGAGGTTCGCCGATGAGACTAGGTGTCGGAGTCGCCTGAGTTTTCAGGATGTCGCAGGTTATTGACACTATAT